TGTTTCTGTTTTCTTGGGATATATTCCTAGTAAGTTCATTTCTTTTTGTTAGTTTATTTTGTTCATATTCTACATATAAGTAAAATCATATGATGACTGACTTATTTCACTTAGCATAATAGTCTCCAGGTCCATCCCTGCTCTTGCAAAAGGTAAGATGTCCTTCCTTTTCACAGCCAGGTAGTATTCCATTGTGTTAATGTACCACGGCATTTTTCTCACTCATCTACTTTTAATTTTAAAATTATCAAATTTACCTTTTATTATTTTACCTAGGCCACTTGATAATGGCAACTGTCTATCTTTAAATAATAGGAAGTACTCGTTAACACATAAACCTTCTTGCTCCTGAGGCCTTTGTTTCTGCTATAGAGGAATATAGAAGTTAGGAATGGCCTAGGTTCTGTAATCAAGAGTTTTTTGAGGTTCCTTCTAATGGACCTTATTATACTTAGCTATAGTCTTTGGGCAGTTCTGTTTAGAAATGTTTTGTATTTTAAATGAATTATTTCTATGGGCCCCTACAAAAGACTAGATTTTAATAAGGTAACTTATTGAGTTGTTTAAAATGTCCATATTTTGTAACTTTCATACATTTAAGCAATGCATTGAGCAATAATTATCCAGAAAAATACATCTTTTCTAAAAAAATATATTCTTATTGATTTCAGAGAGGAAGGTAGAGGGAGCGAGAGATAGAAACATCAATGATGAAAGAGAATCATTGATCAGCTGCTTCCTGTACATGCCCCCTATTGGAGATGGAGCCTGCAACCTGGGCTAGTGCCCTTGACCAGAATCAAACCCGGGACCTTTGATTTCACAGGCCGATGCTCTATCCACTGAGCCAAAACAGCTAGGGCCAGAGTAATACTTTATGTCTTAATAATTCCAAGCCCTCTTCCCTAAAGAGGGGAGGAAAAACAGACCATTACTACCTAAATTTGTAATATAAAATTTCTTTTTACTAGTGATTTGAAATTCTTACTGATTTTTAAGACAGCCTTTGCCTTTTAATGGTGAATTTGAACTTTCTGGGGACTTATTTTTTATATAAACTCTTCAGATAAAGTGTATTTAAACCTCAATAATTACTATAAATACTTTATCTGTTGAAAATGTTTATATACATTTTTTTATCAACAGACCATTTTTCTTCATTTTAGGAAGCAGAATGCGTTGATGAGAAAGAATCGCTTATTAAAGTAGCTGCAATTGATAATGGTCTAGCATTTCCTTTTAAACATCCTGATGAGTGGAGAGCATGTGAGTATTTAGAACCTTCTGTAGGTTCTGTAATTACCCTTTTTCCAGAAAAGGAAGGGAACAAAATTTATGATCATTAAACTGGCAGAATAAAAACCAGATGACGTATCATTCATTAGGACTTAATTTTAGGCACTAGATGCAGAGATGTGTGCTACATGGGACTTACCATGCATGTTCGCTTATCTTTAGTTAACTGTGTCTGGTTTTGATTTTTTGGCTTGTGTTAGCATTGTAAAGTAACTTTGATAGCTTTCCAAATTTAAATATATATATGATAAATATATATATTATCTATATGTATAAAAGCCTAAGCGACTGTCTGACCATCCGACCGGTAGCTATGACACGCACTGACCACCAGGTGACTTGGCAGCTGCGGTTCCCAGGTGATGTACCCAGAACCAGAGAGGAGGGAGCTCGATTCTGGGGTGCATCACCAGAGAACTGCCTTCTCGCAATCCAGGACCCCTCAGGGGATGTTGGAGAGCTGGTTTCAGCCCGATCCCTGCAGGCCAAGCCGAGGGACCCTACCAGTGCACGAATCCATGCACTGGGCCTCTAGTATATAGATAACATGGTAATTATCTGTTTAATACTTTGGTAGGGCTTTATTTTAGTGTTTTGGGGAACATTCACTGATAAAACAATTTAAGCCTTAGCTCCCTCCCCCTTTTTTTAGTGACTGGAGCTTTAACTGTCTTACCAGTCTCTACTGGTTTGGTTTCTATGTCTCAAAAGTCTGGTTTCTGTGTCTTCTTAAGCCAGTTTTAGACATTTTTATTTTGCTTAAAATTGTCCATATCTTGAGTGGAGATTTATGGGTATAACGTTTTTTATATAATTTTTTTATAAATAAGAAAATTTCTCTGTTTTACTAAGTATTTAGCGGTGAATTGTTGTCTGGAATTTGCCTTAAAATACTTGAAGATAGATGAAACCAATTTTATAAAAATTTGGGAATAATTGAATTAGGTTATTCAGAATATGGGAGCTCATAGTACTAGTTTTTTTCTATCTTTGTATATGTTTAAAATATGTGTAATAAATTTTAAAAGTAATCTCTGTATCTATGACTATGCCTCTCTTAAATTTCTACTGTTCATTAGTAGCCTTTTTTTCTTCATTAGAGTTACCAAAGATTTGTCTATTATAAAATATTGATCAAATTTTCAGTTTATTTGCTTTTGCTTTTTTGTTGATAATTTGTTTTCCATTATTATTTTCTTCTGTATTTATCCTATATTGTTTTCCTATATGTTTTTCTCTAGGTATCATTTTGACTAAGCCATAGATTGGGCATGCTACTCTATTATTCTGCTTTATAGATTCATACTTTCAGATTTTCTTTACATTTTTTTACACATTTTTTTTTTTTTTAGAGAGGAAGTGGGAGAAAGAGAGGTAGAAACATCAATGATGAGAGAGAATCATTGATTGGCTGCCTTCTTCACTCCCCACACTGGGGATTGAGCCCACAACCCAGGCATGTGTCCTTGACTGAAATCAAACCCAGGACCCTTCATTCCACAGGCCGATGGTTTATCCACTGAGCCAAACCGGCTAGGGCCAGATTTTCTTTTTGACAGGAGTAATTTAGAAGTATTTTGTTTGATTGTAAACTTTCTAGATCAGTTGATTTTTTTAAAAAACTGTCCATTGTTATTTTCAAGTTTTCTTACTTTTTGATCTGTGAATGTGTCTGTGTGAAATCTACTTTTTGACACTTGTAATAATATCTATGTAATCTAATATATGGCCAATTTGAAGGACTGTGTTTGAAAAGAATGTGTTTGGGCACAATTAAAGCTTTTTAGTTGTTAATTAAATCATATTCTTGACTTATTTTTTGACTATTTGATATGTTAATTTTGGAGAGAAAGTTAAAGTTCATTGTGATTATGATTTTGTCAATTTCTTACATTTCTATACAGTTTTTGCTTTGTATTTCACATTCCTAATGGCCCAGCACTTTATTTTGCCTGTGGTTTGTTCTTTTATCAGTGTGAAATATATCCTGCTTTATTCCTCTTAAGGTTTTTTTGTCTGTTGTAACTCTGGTATACTTTAGTTCTTTTTATTAGCGTTTACCTGGTATTATTCTATACTTCTATTTTTAACTTTCATCATTTTGTTTTAAGTATATGACTCATAAACATCACTTGGCCAGATATTTTTTAACCTAGCCTGAGATTCTTGTAATAGGTACACTTAATTCTGTAGCTTATCTCAATAAACTATTAATACTTTGAACTTTTACTGCCATCTTATTTTTTTTATCTTAAATTCCAATTATTTCTTTTTTTCCTATTTTTATGCCGATGGTTTAATATGTCTTCGTTTCATTTATCTTCGTTTCATTTATTTTTCTCTAATGATTTGGAATTTGTATACATATTGCACTTTAAAAGTGTTACATTAAAGTTACCTACAATATATGTGGGAAATTTTATCAAACACACAGTTGGGGATTGAGGGTCTTTGAACTGGAAAGAAGAAATAGTATTGAGGATATAATTTTTAAACTGTCACCTTGGTAGTGTGAGCCATGGTGTTGTTTGCTATTACCCAAGGAAATCATGGTGAACAAACCATCACTAGGATAATTCAAAGTACGTACGTACTCAGTGTTTCATGAATGTTCTGTAAATGAACGAGAAAAAAGGAGTAAGGATAGAATCTGAGGGAGTGGTGACATTGAAGAAGAAAAGCCATCCTAGGAGAGAAGTGACTTAAAAGACAGAAGGTAAACTTTGAGAGTGGTTTCTCCAAAGGCACATTAGGAGATCAGGAGATGATCGAAAACAGTGCTATGTGATAGAGACATTAAGTAGATGAGGACTGCAAATGGACCTTTGGAGAGGCTCCCATGTGATCACTGCTGGGAGAGAGTGATAGTAAAATTGTGGGGTAGGGGTTGGAAGTAGAGTCAGGAGTTAGAGTAAAGGCTTTTCTTTTGATGTAATTTATTAGGGAACGATAAAAAGGAAATTGGATATAACTTCAGGGAGATTCGCAGGAAACTGAATATGCACTCTTACTGCTTTAAAAATCTTTCAGTCCTGGCTGTGGAGATAATAGTCCTCTTGGAAGAGAACTACAGTTAGCTGGGAATGGTGGGTCTTTTATCCCTTAAAGCTACTCACCTATTTACCTACTGATGATTTAAAATTTTAGAAGATCGTGTGTTGTGGTGGTGTGTGTGTGTGCGCGTGTGTGTGTGTGGCCAATTCCTGATGATTTGTGGCTGGAAGGGCAGGGAGACCTCAGCCAACAAGTTTTTGATCTAGAGCTCTAAATAGATTATAGCTATCTCTTAATTTCCAAACTTAGGAACCAGAGATTCAAATATATGTATTTAAATAGGGCTGTTTGAAGTAGACTCATATCAAAACTCTTCTTACTCTTTAAAACCCAGAAACCTAACTACTTCAGGTAAAACCTTGTGTTTTGTTGTCTGAATTGAAAATCCAAACTTGGAATCTGAGTAATCTAGATAGCAAAGGATAATTGTTCTCTGACAACTTTCTCCTGTCTGTTTTTTGCTTGTTTGTTTTTTGAGAACCTGGGAATTGTAGGAGAAGAACCAGGACATACAAAATAAAAAAACAAAACAAAAGAACTAGAATAAATGTGGGTCAAAATACACCCTTTCCCCCTCTGATTAGAAACCTTTTTTCCTGTTAGATCCATTTCACTGGGCTTGGCTTCCTCAAGCAAAAGTTCCTTTTTCTGAAGAAACAAGAAACTTGATTCTACCAAATATTTCTGACATGAATTTTGTGCAAGATTTATGTGAAGATCTCTATGAACTTTTTAAGGTAAATAAATTTTTAGTTTTAATTATTACAGAAAATGAAATCTTAAAATACAAGAGGTTTTCTCGATAGAGTTAATTTGCAGTTTACTGTTTTTGGTATCACTTCTTGCAGTAGAACTTGACATAACAGAAAGAAATTAGCAGTTTTACTCTTACTCTAAGGGGCATAAATTTGTGAAGTTACACTTAACTGTGAGTATTCTTTGAAGTGAAACTTAAAACTTGAGAAGTTATTTCTTCAAAAGTTGAATATTTAAGTAATGACTCTAAAAATTATAACAAATGTTTGGTGACCTATAATAATCTACTTCTTTCAAAAAAACCTAAACTCATTGGCAGTGGTTCTCAACCTCCCTAATGCCGCGACCCTTTAATACAGTTCCTCATGTTGTGGTGACCCCCAATTTCATTGTTACAAATTGAACATAATTAAAGCATAGTGATTAATCACAAAAACAATATGTAATTATATATGTGTCTTCCAAAGGGGTCATGACCCACAGGTTGAGAACTGCTGGGCTAGAGTGTCATTTTAAATCCTTCCTGGAACAAGTTAGAGTATAAATAAACTATTCTTATCATTCTAGCGGTATACAAAAATACCTCAGGTAAAAACTTTCTAATGACCTTAGGGGCCAAGTTGAAAGTGTTCATTTGTTTTCAAATATTTGATTCAAAGATCTTGACTTTTGTAATTATAATAATTTTTTTTTCTTTTCTGTGATAGACTGACAAAAGATTTAACAAAGTCACTTTTGAAAGTCAGATGTCTGTGATGAGGGGCCAGGTAGGTCACTTTTTCACACGCTTGCTAAGAAAAAAATTCCTCTTTGAAATACTAATCAACATTTTTCTCCATTGTGACCCAGATACTGTTTTATGCTGAACCAAAATAGCTCAGATGATTAGAAATGAAGTTGATTTCAATAGTATCTTTCCTCTATTGTCTTGTAAATTAGATATCACTGACTTTATTGTATTTTGTTTAGTTACCCAGAACCCTACTGTGAATTTTTTGTCTTTATTTTGATAACTATCAGTATTTTCCTGATTGTTATCTTTTCCCTCCCAATTCCACCTTCTTAGAGCACTGGTGCCTTTTGATTATTTGTCTCCTAGTAGAACGTGTTTGGCCTTTGCAAGAGCAGTCAGTAAATAACCATGTCACCAAGGTTGAGCACTGATTGAGGCATAAAAGTACTAATTGTAACTCAGTCCTCTCACCCCTTCTCACCTCCTCTAAGAAGAAATACAAGATATTAGGTCGGCTGCTGTGGACCTGCAGGCTGGGCTGACCGACAGATTACAACGGGTCTTCTACTCTGTTAGTAGTATTTAGATTCCAAAAGGAAGACTTGAAATGAAAAACACTGTCTTTTGGTGACTTGTTAAAGTAACTTTATCTTCCTAAAATATGCATTTAAGGTGGCTGTTTGCTGCATCCCTGGGGCAAAAAGACGAGTCTAGATTTTGCACTGACTGTTATATAACTTTAACAAATAAATATAATTAGCCCTAGCTGGTTTAGCCCAGTGGTTAGAGCATTGGCCTGTGTATTGAAGGGTCCCAGGTTTGATTCTGGTCAAGGGCACATGCCAGGTTGCAGGCTCGATCCCCAGTAGGGGATGTGCAGGAGACAGCTGATGATGATTCTCATCATTAATGTTTCTATCTCTCCCTCTCCCTTCCTCTCTGAAATCAATAAAAATATATTTTAAAAAGTAAAAATAAAGGAATAAATATAATTAAATTAGATAATCATTTACTCACCAGTTGGTTGAGCTGGTTTGATTCCTGGTCAGGGCTCATGCCAGGTTTCGGGCCCAAGGCAGCGTGCGTACCAGAGGCAACTGATTTATGTATCATTCTCACAACGATGTCTCCCTCTCCTCCTCCTCCCCCTCCCACTCTTCCTCCCCTCTCTCTCTCCCTCTCCCCCCCTCTCCCTCTCCCTCTCCCCCTCTGTAAAATCAGTAATAACATTTAAAAGAAAGAACTGCTGTAAGTTAGACTGGACAGTGGGGTGCGGTTTACTCAGTGGATGAAGAGTCTGGAGCCTCACAGGGATGTTTCCCGTAATTCAGGCATGAATGAAGGGCTTAGATGATCAGTGGCTGTAATTATATTGCAGTGTTACCATCCCAACTATTTTTGAGCTAAATTTTTAAGCATTAATAATTATGCCTGAATTTGACCTTTTTTGCTGGAAACAAATTAATTTATCAGTATGCTCCATCTTCTGGCATTGTCATATCCTTAAATATATATCTTTATCGTAGGAATAGTTTTAAAAAATAAAAGCTGTAAATAATTTTGTAAGCTTTTTAAGTGTTGATTAAAGTTGGTACATGAGGAATTTAAATTTTAAAATACTTATCTGAAAAGATATAGAGATATTCCATTACTGAATGTGGTCTATTAAAAGATATACCAGTCTCTATCTGATTTTTATTAATATCCTGTCTCATTCACAAAGGAGATGTGTGTAATAAAATAGAAAAATCACAGGATCGAGATAGGGGGCAAGAGCCTGGCTGGTGTGGTTCAGTTATTGAGCTTCAGTTGACCTATGAACCAAGAGGTCAAGGTTTAATTCCCGGCCAGGGCACATGCTCGGTTGTGAGCTTGATTCCCCAGTGGGGAGCGTGCAGGAGGTAGCTGATCAATGATTCTCTCTCATCATTTGGTTTGTTTTTTCAGTGTTGTATCCCAACACTAGAACAGAGTCTACCATGTAGTTTGCTTGCAGTAAATGTATTTGTTGAATGAATGGATAAGGCAAGTATTTAGTTTTAAAACCAGACTATTTAGACCAGTATTTGTTTAGGTTCTATGCCAAGAATATGTTTATTCAGTCTCTGATTTCATTTTTCTTGGACATTCTAGAATATTTTAAAGGTACCAGTTGGCAAAAGTTATTTAATTTTAAATTTGTGCACTTGTGTGTATTTATATATGTGTGTATGTATAAACATACATACGTCCATACAATATATATTTAAGGCAGTTATCCTCATCATAATCTATTGAGCATAAACAGATGAAATAAAAATTATAATTATGAATAAATGGTTAAACTAATGTCAGTGAACAGAAGGGTTTTTATCTTTTTTGAACCGGTGAAAATATCTCCTTTTCACAGATCTTAAACCTGGCCCAGGCTTTGAGGGAAGGGAAGAGTCCTGTCCAGCTGGTACAGATGCCTTGTGTGCTTGTGGAACACAGTCCAGGGAGAACGAAGGGTCGGGTTTCCCAGCTCAACAGTTCCTTCACCCAGAGCTTCCACTGCAGGAAGCCTTTCTTTACCTCCTGGTAGCACATATAAGAGAACAAACTGTTGGCATCATTGTGTTGTTAAAATGCTTCAGTTGCCAAAGCCTCAAGTAATACAAGTCTTTAAAATGTTATGTTTTGAATGTAATCAAAAGTTTACAGTTTTTTGTCCAAATATTAAATTCTTATTTCAGGGAAAAAGTGCCATATCTCCTATGTAGTATTTTTGTAGGAGAACTTGTACTTTGTTGTTGATATTAGTTTAAAAGGTAATTTCATGGTTTACAAATTCTGAAATGACTAATTACTTTAGAATTCCAAATAGAAAAATAAGGTACTTGTTGACTTTGAATAAAATAACTTTTTATATACTTTTTAAACATTGAGAAGAATGTTCGTGTTAACTCTTCTTACATTATAAAGGCCTTTTGAGTGTAAAACTGGTCTTCTGAACTCTAATCGATTCGTTAATAGAAAAACAGGTAAGAATAAAACAATGCTGCCTTAATTAAAAAGCTGCTATTTTAGAACTTGAATAAGTGCCCCTAAAGTAACCAATGTGAGGGACCAGAAAAGTATATCTTGGTTAAGTAATAGATGACCATTTTCTTTTTTGTACTTAAGAATATTTTTGCTCAATTATATAACTATAGTGAGAAAAAGATCTAAAGGTATCACCTTTAAAAAATGGAAACACTCAACTGAGACTTGAGGGAAATTATATACAATTATAGTAAATTCATAATGTTTTTGAAATTCCAAAGTAGCATTAAAAATTCGTTTTTGTTCGTTGCATCAGATCAATTACATAATAAATTAGTACTACCCCAAAATACTAATCTTGTTTAATTTAGTACTTTGGTTAGTAGTAAACTTCACTGAAAATTAAACCATACCTCAAATTGCATGTCAGATTGTATTTTAGGATCCTAGGACATAAACTATTAAAAAATAATAGTAGTGTGCCCAGTGTGTGTGGCTTAGTAATTGAACATTGACCTATGAACCAGGCGGACAAGGTTCGATTCCCTGTCAGGGCACATGCCCCGGATTACAGGCTCGATCCCCAGTGGCAGCATGCAGGAGGCAGCCGATCAGTGATTCTCTTTCACCATTGATATTTCTATCTTTTTCTTCCTCCCCCTGCCTCTCTGAAATCAATAAAAAATATATATTTTTAAATAACAGTAGTGTTTTAAGGGACTTGAAAATCTCAATGTCATAATTACAGTCAAATTTAGAATATCAGCCCTAATTAAAGTGAACCATAACAGAGGTAATCACAAAATCATTTATATTTGATTTTACATATCAATATGTCTGACATCATGGGAATTTGTAGCACTTATAACTCACCAAGTGATTTAAATTAAGATCAACCCAATGTGAAGATGTAGTTCCAAAGAAGCAGAAGTTTCATTCTCTTCTTCAGGCTCCAAACAAATAACACCACCTCTTGGACTAAACTGGGTGTTTTGTGGTCGTGGCCATGATGAGTTGAGAGTACTGCTGTCCAAGAAGAAATGTCTCCTACCTCCACCCACCCTTCATCATCGAAAGGTTGAGGTGATGGAAAACTGGAAGCTTAAAGCCCAAGCTACTATCTTTAGATAAATACTACTAATTGAAATGTGCCTTTGAAGATGTGTTCTAAAAGAACTAAGTTGTTATGATGTAGGTACTGCTTTCATAACATGGTTGTTTTCAGTATTTTGAGAATTGCTACATTAATTTTTATAATGAAAACTTTAGTAAATTGCTACAGTTTCATATCCTAAAATTAAAACAGTGTGTAAATATTTTTTAAAGGTCTGATCAGGCCAGAAAAGTTAAGTTGAAATATTTAAGATGTGATTATAAGTCAGAGTACATTGGTTATATTTTGTAAATTTTCATAAAATTAATTGTTATTTAAATGTTGTGTTATTTTTTTCAGTGAGTATGTTATAGTGTCAAATGGTAGACTAAAGGGAATAAAAACCATCATTGTCTTAAGGCGAGATTTCTCTGGGTGTATATATTGAATATTTAGAAAATTTGTGAACACATTTATGTTTGTAAATGATGACAAACCATCGTTTTCTTGCTTTAGATCATAGAGGTATAGTTAATTCTTTGTAATTCTAAAAGGTATATTTAACTGGAACCTTTATAATTGGAGACATTTTAATTTTTATTTAATTATATGCTGCCTTATTCTTCCCCCAAATTTGTCAGCAATTGAAGACTGGAAACACGGTGTTTTACAGACTTGAAAACAATTTGATTCACAATTTATTTTTAAACATTAAAAAAACTATACTAGTGGAATTAAAACTTTATTTTAAAATGCTAGTAACATGCTACTTGATTAGATTACGTTGCAAGTCCTTTATGATATATGAAGGGACAGGCCGCATCTTGTTTTACAGTCTACCTTCTCTCCCAGAGGTGCTGGGGCGCCTGTGCAGAGTGGTGGCAAAGACTCTCAGTGTCCTCTGTTTTCAAGCCTACGGTGCAGTTAGTTTGGGGCCATGTGACTGCGTTCTGACCAGTCACAGAGCTTTGGGGACAAGTGATGTGTGACTTTAGATGCGGCAGTAAAACTCACTGCCATCAATCAGTAGTCACGACTGAACAGTCTCCTAGCTTCCTGCTTGGCTGTAAACACACAGTTTGCAAAATGGAAACAGCAGGGACCTCATGAGGCACTGCTTAGAGAGGAGAGCCTGCTGACTTCATTGGCCTGACATGAACAAGAAATAAATGTATGTATTTAGTCACAAAACTTGAATTTAGTCATTACTAAAGCATAATTGTCTGTCCTGTCCTGAGCATTATAATGTAAACAGAAAAATATAAATCATTTAAAAATAAAAAATCAATTATAGGAGGCATGATGATAGCAGCAGTGGGTCTTCTTTTAATCTCCCAAATCCCCATGGAGCTATCCTATAGCAAAAGAAAAAAAAATCTCAGTGGCCCCATCTTCACTAAAATTAGGTGCTGGACTGTCCCTGTGAATCCTAGAATCTGACTAAAACCATCAATAGCAGCAGGATCATGTGGGAACAAGAGCTTTGAGGAGCAAGCAGAGAAAAAGTAAGGGAGAACTTGTGATGTTTGTAAGAGCCAAAGAACCCAGAATTTGGCAACATGTACTCAGCCCCAAAGGAGGAATCCACAGTAGTGGTGGCAAGCTCAGCCTGTAGATCCAAAAATCACAATCACAATTGGGAAAGGGCTGTCCAGCAATAAATTACTGTATCCTAGTAAACGGAGCTGCAGAAAGGTATGAGTGTGCTAGGGCAACCTGGGTCTTCAGAGTTCTCAGGAAGTAGTGCTGTGAGCGCACATAGGCCTGCACCAGGGGAAACTATTGGCTATCGAATACACATTGACAAGGGAAGGACGCTGGCGGTAAACGTGAGAAGGTTCAGATACTGAATAGAACAAGACCAAATAATACAAGTCAGAAAATACCAAAGAGAACACAGAAAACCGTCTTATCTAATACTGTTTAGTAACTTACAGGAGAGAGAACCCTAGAACCACAAAACGGAAATGCCTGGCTCACCTCACCTCCTATACAGGAATCTCAGAAAATAAAGATAGCCCAGAAACATTTACAAAGCAGAGGAAAATAATGTTTTTTAAAATGCTAAACGATATTCAGAAATGATAGAACCTAAGAACAACATAACATCAAAATTGGGAAAGTTCAAAAATGAGATAGGCAAGCAACGGGGAGAAATAATACAAGAGCTAACATGACAAGGAGGCCTGCTTTCATTGCTCCTGTTCAGTATTCTACTGTAGAGCCAGCCAGTGCAGTAAGGGCAGGGAAGAGGTAAAAGGTATGAGGGTCAGAAAGTAAAAAATAAAAAATGTCATTATTTACAGATGACATAATTACGCATGTAGAAAGTTCAAAATAATCTGATAACTCTTAGAATTAATAAGTGAATTTTGTAAAGTTTACATACCAGCAACATTGGTTAGAAAAAGAAAAATTTTTAAAGATACCATTTATAGCAGCAATAAAACATGAGATTCAATCAAAGATATGCAAGATTCTTACACCAAACTATGAGTATTGAGAAAATTGCAGTAAATACGGATGAGATGCCCACAGTGGTTGGTGTTTTTCAAACTCTGTCATTTTCCATGTTTCAATTATTAAAAGAACTAGAGGCCCAGTGCACGAAATTCGTGCACGGGTGTGGTCCCTAGGCCTGGCTGTCAAAGCACAAGCGTCAGGCATGGGAAGGCAGATCCCAGCTGACCTCTGGACCTTGGGCAGCACCTGGGCCCCCGAGCCCCCACACACCCCCTTCCACCTGAGTCGTGGCACCCGAGTCCCCATGCAGAGATGCAGTGAGTGCGGCTGGACACCATAGGCCTGGGTGCAGCATGGGCCTCTGGGCTACCCAGTAGCGCCACATGGAAGCCAGGCAGGTAGTGTGCTGTCTCCCAGCTGGCCTCACAGACCGGCTACTGAGCAAACCCAGAGGGAGCCTGACCTGCCCCTGCAGTCCCAGTGGCTGCAGCCTGGCTCACTTGGAAGATGAAAGATGCTGTGCGGGTGTGGGGCAGGCTCCTCGCGGGCGTCCAGCACCTGAGCGTGGGGCTTCCCCAGCGCATGAGCCTTGGTGTCCTGGGGGAGGTAACAAGGGGAATGAGAGGGAGTTTGGCAGACACCCCGCATTCTCACCGCACCTCTGTCCCCATCACTCCTGCCCCCATGTAGCCAGGGAGAGGTTGCAGCCCCCCATCCACCACTAGTCACTGCCCCCTGGTGGTCAGCACACATCATAGCGAGCAGTCGAATTTCCAGTCTCCTGGTTGAACTCCTGGTCCAAC